TCACGATCGCATCCAAACTCAGGACAGAGAACAATTGGGCACTTGCAAGTAATTATGTCAAATAACTGGTCCAGTTGCTTTTGGCAGTTGTCCTTAATCAGTAAGTTTTCCCAAGAGAGAGATATCTTGCCTTTTCCCAACTGGCTAGCAGTCTCTCACTAATCTTCTTCTGACTTGTTATGACCGAGGCTTGAACTGAGCGCGGCCAGGAGGTACTGTGCCAAGACAGCTTTGGTCATATCACTGGTAATGTCTTTGTTTGTGTAAGTTCTTTGGTTCTTTTCACTGATTTGCCTGATTAAAACACCGTATCTCAAAGCATCTCTCAATGTAGGCAACTCCGACTTCAGGAGCTCTCTCCCAGACCCAAGATAGTGACTGAGATGGCTGGATTTTTGGTTGCTCGTCCTGACACAAGCAGCCATCGCAAATATTATCAACTTATAAATGCATCAGAATCTGAAACAGAAAAAATATTGTTAGTTGGGTTGTTAAAGAATGAAGTCAGAAAGCAATGTTCACTATTTAATTGTAATGCACTAATGCAGCTGTACGTTAGATTTTCGATAAATTTCACGCTAAAATTTACCTAGCAAAAGGTTGCAAAATATTGAAACTGAAATTATTTTCTGTTTATATACACTAAAATCTACCAAAAAAGTGATGGGTCATTAGTTTTAGCTGATCTTCCCTCCTATGACACACCCTACTACAGTAAGTACCTCCGGCAGTATGCCCCTCAGGCAGATGTGAACAAAGTGTGTGGCCAGACATCTGGCCACACACTTCAACACTACGTCTTAGACTGTAAAAAAAATTAACCTTATAGTGATAGAGCTAAGCACACTCTATATGCAGTGGCACAGCACTTTATCTCTGATGACAAGATAGCTGATATACTAAGGCTGTATCTGCACTTCTCGTCTAGTACCTAATCAAAATGCTATGTCATAATATAAAAAAATACTGGGGTCTGCTAAACACCCTTTGTGGCCTCTACTCAATCCTTTCTGCGCTACCGTTCATAGAGTAACAGGATGAGTATGGGGGTGCACAATAATCTAACTGCTGTTTGCAGCAAAATTTAAATTCAATTATGTGCCACTTCCTCTCCTCCCCCTCTCTCTCACAACACGTGTTAATCTGTAAGTTGAAAAAAAAAATAATATATTTTCTCCACCACTTATGTAAAACAAAATAAACACATCGAATATATTTTTGTACCATAAAGTTTTAAAACCAATCTTGATTTGGGGTTTTAACGTCCGGGTGGTAACTCACTGCCAGCGACGACTATTCGCAGCGTCCGTAAAACTGAGTAAAACTATATATATATATATATATATATATATATATATATATATATATATATATATATATATATATATATATATATATATATATTATATATATATATATATATATATATATATATATATATATATATATATATATATATATATATATATATATATATATATATATATATATATATATATATATATATATATATATATATATATGTGTGTGTGTGTGTGTGTGTGTGTGTGTGTGTGTGTGTATGCGTGTGTGTGTGTGTGTCCCCATCCATCCAGCTTAACTGTGCTACTCTCACTAATGTTACCCAATTTCAGTATCTCGCCCACCTGTCCACCACCATGGACATTGATGAAGAGATTCAACATCGGATCAGATGTGCATCTCAAGCCTTTGGCAGACATCGTACCAGTGTCTTCTAGGAGCTGAAATTATCTACAAAGTTGCACGTATATCGAGCAGTGGTCCTCCCCACCCTGCTCTATGGCAGCGAGACATGAGTCACATCCAGAAGGCACCTCAAGGGAAGGCAAGAGAATAATGGCCAGTATTCTCGCTGACACCAACTATAGGAGCATTTAGGCTATCCATGAACATTATCCATGAACAACTACGTTGGACTGGCCATGTTACCCGCATGGACGACAGTAGACTGATAAGGTATAAGGATAGTCTTAAGACAAACCTAAAAAGTGCCAAATCGACTCCCTCACCTGGGAGACTATTACTCCACACCGCAACACTTGAAGGAGCACCACACGAGAAGGTGCCAATAATTTCGAATTAGTCAGACTACCTAACGAGGCAGACAAGCACCAACGCCAGAAAGACGCTGCCGATGTCCCTCCTGTACTAGAAGTACCCCTCCACACGTGCAACATCTGTGGACGGCTCTACCGGTCCCATATCGGCTCTCTAGTCACCTTAATGCTCACCAACAAAGTTGATATCCTTAATAACTCATATCATTTAATCATAGTTGGATGACTATTATCATACTTGAACTGAGTGACAACAAAGTAGTAGTACTAGTTAACATGAGTTAATAAAATCAGGTAATACTTTTTTCAGTAATAAGTTGTTGTTGTTGATATAATGTTATTACCGCGCTAAACAACTAACTCTATATGTGCGTAACAATGTTAGTAATTACACTATTCCAACATCATTTAAAAAATTACCAGAGAAAAGTCTCTGCATATAATGAAGGTGATATATAATGAATATAAAGGTGATTTTTTCAGAACACAAAACTTTTTTTTATTATTAAATCATCAGATTATTCGTCAACCTTACTGAAAATCATGAATTCAAACAAAAGGTAGCTGTAATCACTTGTTCATAACTGATGTTTCTCATAGGTTTAACTTATGATGATGACAACGCCTCTAACTGCCCCACCTACACGATGACGTCAAATTTACCCTGAGATTTTACCGTAAATAAAAGCGTCTCGTTTCCCTAGTTACAGTATAAGTAATTAACGTATGACACTGAGGCTCTGACATTCTTTCTTCTTGACAGTTATATAACACAAATGACTAGATTATTATCAAAAGTTTCTAAAGCAGGATATTTCTCGTGATTGGATAATCGGGAACATACCTTGCTGTCTTCAAGTATTATGAACCAAGATTCTCAAATGTTCGTAAAGTACAGTATGTTTTCTTAACTGTGGACGGGAAAGTGCACATTCATAAGGTATTTTTTTTTAATATTTGCTTTATATTAGCTCAGCGTAGCAAAAATGTCTTACAGTTCTTTGAGAATCTGGACAAGCTTCTCAATAACAGTAAGTGTTAATACTTATATGAATTTCATAAATTTTTATCCTTCGCGAGATAATATTTCTTTTACACAATGTCTTTTTGTAATTAATATTTGAACACAATTTTCCATGTTTAGTTTTTGAATGAAGTTTTATTTTCCCTCTATCCCACAGTCAGCATGTCAAAGAAAATTGTCTTCCTACTATAAGTCTAATGGAAGACTGAGATAATTATCAGCTAAAAAACCTAACCCACATAAATAAAATATTATATATATTTTATAAAGTGTTTACATTTTTGTATAAACTTGTTCACATCCCTTACTGTTATTGGTTTATTAACACAGGAAATCGTCATATAAATATTTAATCATCATTGTCATTCAGACAATTGTAAATTCATTATAAGACTATAATATGTAATAGGCACAATCATTCAGCAGACATTCTCTGACTGGCATCAGGCACAGGGATGAACTGTATCTAGATTGGGGTATTTAATCAACAATAGTTTCCATCTTTCTGGCCGATCCCTCTCGAGACGTGCTTCATCTAGATAAAATATATATATGCACTTACTGAAATCGTCATTTAAGTTCACATTGGTTCAGTGTACGTGTAAATAGATGTTTGTTTTCTATAAAATCGCCATGCAAGGACACATTTGCCTTAGCATGTGCATAGATAACATAGGTATACAAATACAAATAAACAGTAAGTTGAATCAAGTAAGTTCAAGAACCCAAGGCCGGACCGACACATTGGTGATGGTAAGAAACCCGCTCTCTTATTCTGATTACTTGAGAACTTCCGCAAGTAAAAATATCAAAATAATTCGTCTTTCAAGACACGTAAACATGGCTAAAGAGATAAAAAAAAGTCTCTTGGTATACCAACAACTTAAAACAAACAGAAAGTTTCGAAAGTATTTTTATAAAACGTGAAGAACTTATATCTTAAACCCAAAGTGAGTATTGCCTGTAGTTTGAACTGTGGTGGTGAGACGGGGAATGGGTGCTGGTGAAAGACAGAGACAGATATATATATATATATATATATATATATATATATATATATATATATATATATATATATATATATATATATATATATATATATCATGTAGATCCACAATAGAAACGTGGATAAGACAAATCTGTACAAAATCACACCACAGGAAAAAGGAAAAATGGAGCACCTAGAGCTGTCTTTATTCAAGACATCTTGAATAAAGGCAACATGACATCCACTAAGCCACACACCAACAGACCGCAAACGTAAGAGGAGCTTAAAAGAAAGGGCGACGTAACCAGTCATGTTAAGTCAGGTCAAAAAATATGACTACTGCTCATCTATCCTACATCTACCCAAATGCTTTCAAATCATTTTAACCTTGGGCCACTGACAAATAAATTTGTGTAACATATTATCAGTTATGTACTGACCATCACTAAGGTTTATAGAATTCAATTCTCTAATTAAACTTGCTTCAACCAGAAGTCGTTCTGTGACATGATGATGATTTAGACACTTCTAAACTGTTTTCCCAATCTATGGATGATCATTGTTCCCAACATGAACGAACAGTGCAATGCTTTATATGCTGTTCTGATATTGAACTTGTGCTGTTTAATTCTGAGTTGCAATGCTTTCCCAGTCTGACCACATAATTTCCATTACAATTGTTACATGGAATGCAGTACACACTTTATTTTGTTTTGTTTTGTAAGGTCACCCTGTGTACGTAAGCCTCTCTCAGTCCTTGTAATTCAGTTGCCTCGAAGATGTCTTGAATAAAGACGAAAGCTAAGGTGCTCCACTGTTTCCCTTTTTCCTGTGTGATTTTATCAATATATATATATATATATATATATATATATATATATATATATATATATATATATATATATATATATATATATATATAAGTAAAAGAAAAATTGATTGAAATGAGAGACGAAGGAGCATCACTGAAACAGAGTTATGTTATGAAATGTTTGAACCATCAGGAACCTTCACCATAAAGGACACACCTCGATATAGCCTTCCTGAGAGACAGTAGTACACACGTCTTACTGTCAACACTAATACCCCAAGATTTACTTATGTACTCTATATATACACACACACTACCTTGATGGTTCTCATTATTGGTAAATTAGAACAAAAAAAAAAACTGAATACAGGAAAATATTAATAAGTATTTACAAAAAACACAATTTTGATAAATGACTTACTGTGGCTGTTATTGAGGTTTACCACAGTCACCCTTGAAGGGTGAAAAAGAATGGAAACAAGTCCACGAGTTAGTGTTGATATAGTACCATGATCAGAATCGCTAAAGCAATTATATAATTCAGACAGCGATAACAATTCGAAACTAATATTACAAAAGCTGATTTAACAAGAACCAGCCCATGAGCATTAATTTAATAGTTTATGTCAAATGACTGAAGAATAAATAAGCATTTTCGTATTCTTGTTCGTTTTGTTTTCTCAACATTGATGAAGTTGCATCAACACATTGCCCTCGATGTCATAAATTATCTACTTAACAACAAACAAAAACTGTCTTTATTAACACTTCTCATGGCTCCAGACAGTTAAAGAAATACTAACTCCAAAATGCCAATTACTCAGTACAGTACTCAAAATATGGATCTGATGTACCCAAGTTACAGACCAGCACAGAGTGAAAATTCTGAGGGTAGATTCCTCAAAGGTTCATGCAATTATGTTTGTTTTTTCCTTAAAACTGTGAATGAGGGAACGAATCTATCTAGTACGGTATAGTCTCAATTCTATTTCTACGCCATTTTGTGCCATAGCTTGAGTGAGGTAGTCTGACACGTTCTCAACATCTGTTAATTAAGGGAAGTGGAATTAACGATGAACCTTGGAGAAACTTAACCTTGAATTTCCCTTAACATTGACGAAGAAAAATCTTTAAAAATATCAAAGTTGAGTCAGTTTTTACATTTCAGTGCAAATAAAAATACAAGATTTTGCTTTAAGAAAAATATATATCAAGGGTATAGAGAATTGCATCTATTAGCTGGTGATTGTAAGGCATAAAGCCCCAGTAGTTTTAATAGGCCCCCAACTTAAAAATTACAACTGTGGCCTATTAGGACTGAGACCCAATCCTAAGGGTTAGGTTAAGATCCATTTAAAAGAAGCAATTGGCACTGGGACCTATTAGGAGTAGGCACCAATCCTAAATTGTAAATTACATTAAGAGCCCATTAGGACGGCGAGAGCCAATTAAAAACTGGTTAGGTTACGTTGGGGTCCATTAGGATAACTGGGTCCTATTAGGAAAACTAATACCCATTAGGATAACTAAGTCCTGTTAGGACAACTGAAGCCCATTGGGGTAACAGGGTTCCATTAGGACAACTGGGACCCATTAGGATAACTAAGTCTTATTACGACAACTGAAGTCCATTAAAACAACTGAGTCCAATTAGGACTTAAAAAAACCCATTTGGATAACTGGGGCCTATTTGGACAACTGAAGCCCGTTAGGATAACTGGGTCCTCGTACGAAAACTCTCCTGAATTCCCTTGTCTTGGCCACGCTGTTCACACTTTTTTAAGAAGACAACCAGACTTTCTCGTCGAGGTAACCAAACTTTCATGGAACAATACAGACTTCCTCAAACACCTCACTCAGACTTTCTTGATGTAGAACACACACAGCGCCGCCTGTATCAGCAATAACAGCAGGATAATGGCCCCGCTGATCACCGCTGCCTTCCCTGCTGACGCCGCTGAGTCGCTGCCCCCTGAGCTTACTGCCGAGGGGTCGTCACCCGCGGCCAGTGGGGGAGGATCACCATTGCCACTGGATGCTAGTTTCGAGGCGCCGTCATATGATCCTGTAATTGTGAGAGGGGGAGTAAGTGGGTATTCCTCAGTCGAGTGATAGACTAGACAACTGAGGGTTGGAGGAAAAATAGATAATAAATTTAATAGTTTGATATATATATATATATATATATATATATATATATATATATATATATATATATATATATATATATATATATATATATATATATATATATATATATATATATATGTAACTGGTCGGAATTTACTGACTTTATTTTCTCACTTGCCTTGGGGTTTATTAAAGATTAATAGATGGTAATGGCAGTGGAGCGCCTTTGAGAAAACCTTAACCAGCACAAGAACACTTAAATCTACTAAACAAAATGAATTGTCCGTGACCCGTGGAAGGATAGCGCTGTGACTGGGATGAATGAGACACACTGTAAAATTTAGACACTTATATTCCTCCAACACTACAAACACAATCAAATAATGGTACACCAATATGCGACCTCTTAACTTGAACTTAAAAACACTACTCTGGGGAATAAAAGTATACATGATATAGAAATTATTAGAAACTCAGGCAACAATAAATTTGAAGTATTAAGAAATGTTGCTTGCACACATGAAACAGGCCTTAAGGGCTTTCAACAAAATAATATCCAGCACTGAGAAAATGGTATTCAAAATAAGAAATTAATAATTCCACCATGAATAGGCCTAAAGGGCACTCAATATAATTATATTACACCAACAGATGCAGGCCTTAAGGGTTTTCAACAAATTATATCACCCCAATAGATGCACAATTCCTAACCTAACTTAAACACTACTCTGGGGAACAAAGGTTACCTGAGATCGGAATTATAAGGAAAAATTAAATGCATTAAAAGAATTAAATCACAGTATCACTCTGGTTCCACTTAGTGACACAAACATTCAAAAAACAATACTATCAAAATTATTTAAGAAATATTAAACTACACACGTTAAGATAATATCAGTAACTGAGAAATGGTATTAACTACACCTAAATATATTGTCACTATTATTGGTTTGTTACTGGGTCCACTAATACCCGTGAACCATGCTTCCTAACCTAACACACACACAGATTCCACCTGCACCCCGTAGTTGTTTACACAACCAACAGGCACCCGTGAGTTGAAGGCTCAAATCAGCCTTTCTCCACCTTGGAAAGTGTACCTCTAAACTCCACTGACTCTGGCCCCAGTGTGCGACCCTGTATCACTCAGTAGCTTCACTCTTTGTACATCCATAGCGGAAGGGAGTGAGCCAGATTCCAGAGTTGAGAGAAGCTTTAGCTTCCCAGCAAGAGGGTTTCACCATTGCTCGAGACATTGGGTGCTGTGAGCCGAGGTAGAGGAGGGCTGATGACCCCAACGATCGTCCTCCAGCTGGGCGCACCCAGACGGCTATGATTCCTCAAGAGATTTTTGATACTCGTAAATAGATAGCCCTACACTGATCGTCCAAGGTGACAATCGCCACCCTCAATCAACGCAGTCTCAAACGGCAGTCAATTTCGGGTCATTCTCGCAGTCATTTTCGCAGTCAAGTAGGTCTGACGGAACTGAAGAATTATCGTTAGCTCTAGTTTACGCCCTTTAACCCTGTCGAGATTGAATGAGACTTACTTGTTATACTGCAATAGCGCATGTGCGACTAGGCCAAGTGACTATGACGGACGCCAGAGGGACGCCTTTGTTTGTCTGAATGCTCTGCGACTGAGGACCAGCCAGTGTCGCCTCTCCTAGGCGCTAGTTAGTTTACGTGATATTTTCCGCCCTAATATGGTTTACACACCAGAACATTATTCAGACTGATAAACGATCTACACAATTTCAAATTCAATAATAGTCCCTTAACTTCATGAATATTAATTCGGCAATTACATATATCATATAGGCCTAGTTCCACAACCCTCCCACTATGTGCGGAGTTTTCCTCAGATGACCTTTAATCCTTCAATATCGCTAATATGGGCATTTGAAATTTCTGAATATTACATATATACAGTATATATTCAGAAATTTCAGTGTAATTTCAAACGCCACGCCATTGGCGATACTTGAGTTCGGTCGTCTGAGGAACACAGCCCAGTAGTGAGAATTTCTGGAACCGTTTATACAATATTAAATTAAATACCGAATTAATATGGAGGCGAATTATGAATATCAGTTAATAAATTAAAATAATTATAGATTGGTTCTCAGTCTAAAATGTTACGTGTCCCAACAACGCTATTTAGTTATGCGGAAAATATGTCACGTAGGCCTAGGGCTTGGTAAAGCACGCAGCCTGGCTGTTTCTCAGTCACGCTGAAGATATCGACAGACAGGACATCCCTGCATGTCCGTCCACAAACGATCATGTGGTCTAGTCACCTGTGTTTCCCTATTGTAGTATAACAAGTAAGTCTCAT